ATCATAAAAGGCCCTTAAGACTATATTAAAGTAGGCTTAGGCGCTAAGAGAAGGAAGTAACTCTGAATTATCCTTATCCTTACTTATAGTACCTGTAAAGAGGTTAGCTAGAAGAGGAGGCTATAAGCTGTCCTTTTTAGTGTTAACCTCTTTGCTATTATAGCCTTTAATAGGAGAAGTTTATTTTTATATATTAATACTACTTAAGATATAAAAGACCTAAATAAAAAATAGATATATAAGAAAAGGAGAAACTATAAGCTAATTACTAAGGGGATTAAGAGAGCTACTACTCTTTTTATTACCCTTATGTACTTTATTACGCTTTTTAAGTTAAGCTATATACGTTATAGTAATATAAGTATATATAGTAGCCTTTTTATTAGATTTTAAAGGTATTTATTTTTAAATATTAATATTATATAAAAAGCCTATAATATAAGTAAATATATATATATATAATAAAAATAATAATATCTTAAATATATAATTATTATTATTATAAATAAAAAAAAATAAAAAAAAGGCCTTTTTATTAAGCTAAAAAAAAATAATATTATTAAAAAAAATAAATACTTAACTTAATAATTAATTAACTAATTAAAAGCTATTAATCTAATTAAATTATTTAAAAGTAATAAAAAAAAATTTTTTTTTTATTATTAATAACTAAATATAGTATTATATAATTATTTCTTTTATATTTATTACTTTAAAAGTAAATATTTATATTTTTATTTATTCTTTTAAAGTAATTCTTTTATATATAGCTATTATTAAATATATAATAGTTAAAATCTATTAATTTGCCTAAAAGGGTATATCATAATACCTTTACGTATATTATATAGCCTTATGAGATTTGCGCTAGGCCTAGATTAACTATTAGTCCGGTCTCTTCGTGCAGATCCACCACACAAGATATGTATTTATTCGTTTCAGACAAAGCAATCCTGCACATAAAAATCTAAGCCGTTTTCCTTATGTCTTTTCCACCCTAAGTAGTGACTCTACAACAGAAGTTATGTACACCTGGATGAAGAAACCCAATTATTCAAAACTTACTTTGAGGGCCGAGATTGATCCTCCCGTTCTCCTGGTCAGCCAGTACGGTAGATTCTCTGTATGCTTCCCAATAGTGAAGGAATAGTGATACAAGCATTGGCTGAACAGATGGGTGCGGGTCAAACTCCGAAAAGGCAACGACATCATACCCTTGGCACAGAACTAGCTGAAGTTGCCGAACCATTGAAGCTCTCACAGAGTCCAATAATAGTATCGGACTTTTTTGTACAGTACGTTTCCTTTATATGGGACGCAGCAGCGGCCTGCGCCAGTGACTAATGTTACTGGGTCCCGGGATATGGAAGTAGGAGTACACTCCGTGCTGCCACACGCGGAGCACCTCGCTGTTATGTCGACCTAACCCTATGCAAGTGGGACAGGGATCATAGACATGGACAATAGCTGACACTTTGGAAACGTCAGACTAACCTAATGATGGATTCGCCACTCTCAATCCCCATTCTTCTAAGGTCATGTCACATTGCAAGTGGGTGTTGAAGCCTGTAAGTCCGTGCCATCCGTATGGACCTGCGCTCGGCTGGGGAAGAGGTGATTGCACCTTCCCATATGGTAATGCAGCGGCCGTCGACTTGGCAGTTGACTCCCGAGAAGCCGAACCTTCAGTATGTTCCTTTTCAGCATTCAAAAACTCGGAATCCTCGCCATTGTCCCTTTACTCGGTCGAGGGATAGTGGAACAGCATCAACGCACGGCTAAACCGTCACACTAAAACCCCAGAATACAAGGAATTATTATCCTTTGAATTGTGTAGCCGAGCAAAACTACACCTGAAGATCGTGTCAGTTTGGAAATTCACCCATACGTGGGCCCCTACTCTCATATAATGCACCAACAGCTTCGGTCCTGACGAACGGCAGTGTGGGCTTTAGGGTCATAATTACCAACAACACAACCAAAAGGCCTAATCTTCTTGGATAGAAGAACCTCCTTGAAAATCAGGGTCAGTACACTGGTCCCCAAATGTCCCCTGCTCCGTTGAAGAGGATAGGGTGCTACCAAAAGGGTTAGGTAAGATGTGACACAGAGTGGTGGTTGCGGCAAACCTTCCCGGCCGTCGAGTGACGGGGGAGTACAAAAGGAGTTAAGCGCGTCCAAGACAGAAAAGGGACTTTTTGAAGCTCGTAGACGAACACTTCTTCCGGTTTGCCCCTCTACACGGCGGTGCACTGTACTGCCAGCGTAATTGCCTGTGGTACTGAGAGGTCGAGAACTTTCAGTCCCTGTGAACGTTACGCTACAAGCCTCCCTAGGTAGATACTCGAAGGTAAAATCATCATGCGTGTGCGGAACCATTCTGAACATTCCAGTTTCTAAATTCCTCACACAACTGAAAGAAAGAGTCTCGACTGCGAATGTAAATCAGAATGTCATTATTATGAATACGCGACGCGAAATTCTTGTCTGACACGGGCTCGAATGTCTCCAGGTCGAATTCGTCATCAGTAAGACCATGCTCCAGAAGGAAAACAGACGACCAACCACAGCCCAATTATCCAGAAAGTTCCCAGAGAGCCTGTGCTCCATGTGATCGAAACATTGGTGGTTATCCTAGTCAAAAATGGCGTTTTCGGCTTGGGTTTGGCGCTCCACCAGCTTGCATTCGGGTGCCCACACTCGGTTCATCTAACTACCGCGGTTCCATACCGAGATTGCTTCGGGTGCCGCAGCTCCCAAAGCATGAAAAGGAAACAGATCCGTGTTAACGACAAATTCATAAGCAGACCACATTGAACAGATGTCACTCCGTCTTGACAGTTGGAGTGACGAGCTCTTGACACGATGCACGATTAAAGTGGTGATCAAAATGGTCAATGAACCCCATCGTTTGTGCATGTGCTTCTCAAAATCCGTTTTATCCTGGTTCCTTGCCAAAGGTGTGGTACAATGTATTACCCCGCTACTAGACTGGAAAAGTCAAGGGATCTTTGGGGGTTCAGCAGCTGCTTATCTTTTCCCCCTGGCGGCATAGAGGCTCCCACCCATCAACGTGTAAGGACAACCCGGAAGTCAGTCCGTAAATTTTTGACGAACCAGAGGTCACGGAGCACCTCCGGCCACGGAAATCTTTTCTGCCCCGCTTCGGAGCTTGCCCCTATGCACGGGACGTGTATTGGTGAGACCTCATTATACTGGGGCAGAAACGATCTGTCACCACCACGCCGTGGATGGAAGAGAAAGCTCATTGCGAACTGGACGACTCCCTGCACTGATCCATTCGAGGACCTAGCTTCGGCAGCCCTTGGCTGGTAGGAGGGTCTAGATCCTCGATGGACGGTGTCTTTCTGAAGCCGTCGCCACGGACACCGCAATCGACGGAACGTGGACTAGACTCCGGGCGACTGCGAAGCTCTCCTATTGGGCTCTTAACTCCCCCCTCTAGCAATCGTCTCCTCTAGCAAAGCTTCGAGACGTGGATTCCCTTCAGCCACATTATGCGGCCAGGTAACACAGACCATTCTCCCTCCCGGAGTTGGAAAACGATCATCTCATTCGTTGATAGCCCTGGGAACTGCTCCGTGGGATGGACAGGAGAAGGCGAGTTTGCCGTCCATCGAGAACTCGGCCTTTTGAGCTCCATCGTCGACCATAGATACCGGAAGTGATTGAGCTTACCAGGGTGCGCTTCCCGCAAATGTCAAGGGGATGGCCGGGCCCTCTTTAATTCATTTGGGGCGCTTGCTCAACTGAGACGTCATGCCTCGTTCAGTCTGGCCACGTTCTGTCGCATTGCCCCATGTACACTTGTCGCAGCCTGTGCCTTCGGCCCCCGTACATCTGGTTCAGGTTGTTACTGCGGGGAAACTCAGACAAGCCTGCCACATCCATATATCAGTCCGTTGTGGCCTGAAAAATTCCGGGCCGTTTTGTTGATGGTTGTAACTTGTAAAACCCGTCCACTTCCTGGGAACAGAACACCGCCCCATGTTCGTTGAGTTCTAGCTCGCGGAATTTTGGTTGATTCTTCTGTTATAACACACGAAACAAACCCTAGATTGGCTAGCATCATCAATCGACCGAGAAAGCCAAACCGTCGAGGCTATATATTGATCGCCTGCCAGAGCAATCGTACCATCAGATAAGGGTCATTCGCAAACGATACCTTTCGAGCTCATTCAGGCGAAGCTGTTTTTCTCTACCCTACACGTCTGCGTCTTCCCGACGAATACGTACCCGCAGTATGCACTTAGTGGCAGCACTACCCTATTGCACTATCCTAATAGCACTCTTCTAGACTATGGCTAGCAGGCTCCCATTGGCACCATTGCCAAAGACTATAAGCCGCCGAAAGTCAAGGGTCTGCACGCGCGAGGCCTGTGAAGTGTGTCGAGAGAAGAAGGCCAAAGTACGTCCACGAGCGAGTTTGACAATTCTCGATCCACTGGATTTCCCGAGCAATGTTTAACAGTATGCAGTGCGATGGTGAAAAACCATGTTCGCGATGCAGGTCTCGGGGCGAGCAATGCGAATATCAAACTCGATCCCACCAGACAAAACGCAGTCTGCAAGCCGAACTCGAAGAATTAAAGGGTGCTCAGCGTCAACGCGATGCCGTTCTTGGGGCCCTTGCGGCACCAGGTCAGACTCACGATGTGCTTCTCCGTTTGTGGAGCGGCGAAACCTTCGACAGGATATATGAGAAACTCGAACCGCACCACTCTGCGTCTCCAACTACCAGCGATGTGTCGGACTCTTCGAGCCAACCTCGACACATCAAGAAGGAACCATCCTGGACCCCTACTCAGACACCTCTTTGCTCTCCCCCAATCCTGGACTACTCAAACTCGACAGACTTGCACGGGTCAGAAACCAGTCACATCCAGAGCGCTATCGAGAATCAGAACCCGATATCCGACTGCACGAAACAAGAGGCAGATGGGATGATGTCACACCTCGAGACGTCTATGCTCAGCCACATGGCTCTTCCAGATGTCGCCAACGAGTATGATGCTACGGAGTATACACCTACAATGCCATTTGGCATGTTCATGGAACACAACACCCCGCTTATTACGCCCGATGCGTATTACTCCGGCCAGACGTATCCTATGGACGACGTCAGCAACATCAACTGGTGGGAGCCTGGGGTTTCTGACCCTATGCTGTCAAGCTACACCGTTTACTCTTCTACAAATCACAGTACTTGGCCGTATCCTCAATTCTTGGCACCGGATCTCCCAAGCCAAGCGCAGTCTAGTCACTTACAGCCGTCCTCGATGCAATCCCCTATAAATGATGGATCGCCTTTAATATCTCGTTCATCGTCACGGGAACAACCGCACCACAGCAACGGTTCAAGCATCGCCAGCGCAGGTGAAAGTCAATATCCGACTCCACCGCCCCCGAAGAAACGAAAGCTGGGGACCAAAGAACAGGTCTCTTTAGTCACTGCTGGCACTAGGAATGACGGCAAAAGCAAAAGCAAGGCTTCGAAAGACTACAAGGCCCAGAGCAAGTCCCCAGTTCAGGAAGCTCCATCACACGACCGCGAGCGTCACAGGCGGGCCTCAGCTCGTAACTGGCAAAAACAAAAGCAGCAGACTGCAGACCTCGAAGAAGCGATGAATATTGCCGAAGCCCGTAACCGCGAGCTCCACCGCGAATACTCCGAAGTGTTGAGCCAAGTCATGGATGCCAAAAACGCACTCATGGACCACGCCAAGTGCAACCATCCGGCTATAAGCAGCTGGCTACGCTGCCAGGCGACTAAATACGTGCTAAACAAGGGTGCCGCAGTAGACAAGGAACAGAGAGACCAAACTGAGGCGGGGGAGATGGCGGTGCCGGCGTACCCGGTGGGACAGCAAAGAGCCGCTTGCAGATGACACTGCGATGATATGAGTTCTCATTAGTTCCACGTCGAAAGGTGCATTTAATTGTGGGAAATTTCGTATGTTGAAGCATGAATACGTGGGTTTGCCAAAAGGGAAAAGGAGTTACTGGTGGGGGACGGTGGGTTGCGCCGTAGTTTGGTTTCCGAAGCAAGGCGTTCAAAGTCAAGAGTTTGTTTACTACATGGGATGGAAAGGGGACTATTTTATGGGGTAAAGCGCAGCAATGAATACTTGTTTGCTTAGTTCAAGAGAAAACATTCTGGAATTTCTGATGCAAGATCAAGGAAACAACCCTTCATTCTCACGATCGAATCCACTTCACCATCATTGTATGTGTGATTGTCCTCCCAGTGGGCTTCTAAGGTAGCCGAACACTTGGATACGGCGTAGTAATGCCCCTACCGCACAGTATTGAGTGACAGGGATCGTAAGCTGTCGAGGGGTTGGGGTACTTAGTTGTACTTGACGACAAGCAAGTTCAGAAGGAATTACGTTGCAGCCAAGACTGACGATGAATCTGTTCCGTTTACTCCATCGGTGTCAACTCCGTAATAAATAAGCTACTGGATCGGGCCCCTAGTTTGGATTTGTCGCCACGTCCCCAAACCCTCTTCAATTGCCGTTCCCACGTCCTTGCCAGGCACATACTTACAGGCCCCCAAAATTTAGCACCTTGACACTTTACATTGGACGTGTCAGCTCTTCAGGGCAGGGTTGCGATGTGGGGTTCAGTTCAGTTAGCAAACCCAAGAAGCTCTCATTTCTGCGCAGCTGTGATCTCATCCTGCAGAACGTGTGATCGCCTTGTTGCCAGTCTGTTGAACAAACCCAGAGGGTCTGGTACCCAAGGCACTCTGCCTGTTGCAGTGGGCTCGTCAATAACTTTCGATTCTCAGTAGTGGGTTGGCTCTCAACTAGGCAAGTATGTCGCTGTGGTTCGTTTACTCAACATCCCTCATATGTACACTAGGTAGCCACTCACTAGTCCGCTGCTCTCCTTGGATTCAGACCAGACACAACGGAACAGAAACCGCAGCTGCCCCAAAACCAATCGTAGGGAGAGGGATGGCCATCAACGACTCAACATTTGCTCGAGGTACTGAGACGAACTATTATTCATAGAGAAATACTGCTGCGCTCTATCTAGTCCCTTAAACCGCTGCAGCATGCCAACGCAACCCCTTCAACAGGGGTAAGCGATTGGATCTCGGAGTCGGCTCCGTGTCTGTGGATCCCCAACCCATCATGCAATACTCCGCAGGGAAAAAGAAAGCTAACAGGCCAGCCCTAGATGTTTGATGTATACCAGCTACCGCGTGGCTTCCGCCTGTTGATATTGGCTCTGGTGTCCTGAGAAATTTAGATTTACGAACCCCTGTAAGCTCACACGCCATCTCCAAGCGGGCGCTGTCGTTGTGCAGTTTCAAATCCCCCGCTATACACAAAGCTGGGGACACCCCCGTTCGCCCTATAGCTTACTCTCGGTCCGGTCTCCGGGCTTCACCATAGGCTGTCCCAATGGCGTGCCGAGACATTGGAGTTGTGGCCACGTAGATCTCGGATGATGTGATCTATCATCTTATCCAAGCCCTGGCCTCTGGGTCACGATACGACGATAGCAGGCTGCAGGTAAATGTCTGGAAAGTGTTGGGTCACACATCTTTCACAAATTGCACAAGAACATAAATATTACGACTCAAGTTAGAAATGATAAGCAAGCGGCTGATGAGCCGCGCTAATCCCGTGAACTCTTTGTTGTAGTGATGGCTTAAGATCAGGACCCCGAGTACACTACTTCGGCCCTTTTGTTTCCCAAACGCACATGGCATTAATACCCTGATAGGTCATCAACTAACACCTCTAATTCTTTGCTGTGCTACAGCGCCATCGCGAACATGAGTCCAACCTCAACAATAACCATTGACTCGCTACGAGTCATTTCCAGGCTAGGCGCTGCGACAATGGGAGTATCCTTAAAACGCAATAAGGCTGACATGAACCGTCTTTATTTCCCGGTCGAATATAGCGTCGCCCGGGGAAAGTTGCGGGTTACAGCCGTTAGTTTTTATATTTCACGGAGTGGTTATATTTTCGGTTCAGCGTAGGCTTAAAATCAAATCTATCCTGCCAGGCTCGCCCCACCGCGCGCACTTCTCTGGGCTGAGACTTCGCTCTCTGCGGTGCGGATCAGTATCTACTACTTCTTTTTATTTTAGCCTTTGGTTGTAAGACGCCAGAATCCAGACTGGTCGAAATATTGTGATGGGGTGAATCAATCGTCCGAAGTAGACCAGAAAACGCAGCGCCGGGAGGCGCACGGAATGCGAAATACAGAAAGGACTCTGTTGTCTCAACCTCGAAAGTGCACCAGTCACAAGTCTGCCTTTTTAAGCAATTGGAGGTATCCGGGGATTTCGATGTTACAACCGGCTTGATACCATAATTTTCATAGCATTTTCCGGAACTGAGACAGTCTGTTTCACCGAAACATTCCTGCGCTGTCAGATAATCAGCTTGCTGCTGAACACAGCACCAGACGGCAATGTGACATGACTCCGCCGCGGTTCTAGCTGGCCTCCCTTAGTCCCACTAATCATGACCACTATACAGTACTCAGATTATCGGTAAGAGGATGTGAACTCATTTCTTTAAGCCTTCAAGGTATATCGTGGGACTTCTCACGTCATTCTAAAGCTGGTTTGGTATTGAGCCGGCTTGTCGTTAAGACGGCTGGAAGAAATCCGGCGATCCATTTTGCTACTCGGACACCATTCTCTTCATTGCAGAAAAGCCAAAACAGCCTAATGCAAGTAAGCAGCGATTCTGCAGCCGGTTGGAATAAAAGAAATTACTCGGGCAAAGATTGATGTGGGTGGGTTACTGCAATGCGTGAGACGATGCTGACGCCATGATCACCGGCAGTTGAAAATTCGCTAACGTGTTACCTAGCGGAGTCAGTGAACGAATGCGGTTCACACGTGGACACAAGATTTTGCCATTCGCCAATGTCAAACATCCTCCCATGGTGGCGAATACATAATCATCACAATTCTCTTATAGAAAACAATACGTATCCAAAAATTTGGATCATCCCCTTCGCTCATCGGTGATTTCCAATAGAGTTATCTCATCTCAGAAAATGAAATTTGTAGGTCAAAGAACCCAGTGTGGGAAGACTACCAGCTCTCTCTGGGCACCTAATTTACATGATATTCAAGTACGCAATACCCTTTCTAACTAAAATCCGAGTAAACACAGGTATTTATACTTGCATTATCTTGCTTCTGAATGAAGTTCCACGGTAGTCTCATAGCGAGCTGCACGTCATTTTGCAAAGTGATTCATATCCTGTCAGGGACTCCACAGGCCTTTGGCCGATCTAACGTCAGGTTTGTCTTCATCCTGAAGAGCCATGTCCCAGTGTTGAAAAAGAAGATAGTGTAATAATCTTGATTGAATGCTAAGTTGGCTACTGCGACTTGCTCTAAGGCAATAACCTCCGTTAATGGCAGATATGCTCACATGTTGCCTTATTTAAGTAGGCGAAGAATGCCGCCGTTGTGCGTTGACGAAATCAATCTACACTCTGTTTCACTCATCAATAGTCAATGTAATGGTCTTATTGAACGACTAGAACTGAATTTGCTCGGTCCCCAAACCAGTGCATGACTCCAGAATTGCGCCAAAGTAACACGATGCATGTGTTTCATATTCATAGCAGTGTTCAACGCTATAGAAATTTCCTGGGGATATTTTGGGGAAACGTGTCACGACTGTAGTTGCTTGTCCGATTGAGTGGACATTATCCAGATCTTGTTGAACTTGTCTGATGAAGTCTGAATAGCGCTTGAACGCCTGGTATCCAATTATCATCGTCTATACATATCTATAAAGTCATTAATCCCATAGCCCTCGTTTAATGGCAACAAGGGAACTTTTCGTGGTTATCATCACTTCCAGCTTCGTCGTTAACCATGAAGCCTCATCGTACAGCACCTTACTTCCGACCACCGCCATTGGCTAGACGGTTGACCAACAAGCCTCCAAGCGTGGCCTGCAAGGCATCCTTCTTACTTCCACCCGAGTCTTTACCTCCGTGTGATCCATTGGCGTTGTTATTGAACGCCGCAATGGCCGCAGCGCCAGCAGCAGCTGTTGCCATCCTCGTGCCTTTCCTTGACCATGATGTCTTCTCCTTTCTCATTCTCCAAGCCTCCGTCGCGCAGGCGACAACGGCGGCACTGGCAGCTGCTTGAAGTATTGCTGCCTTATCCGATTCGCGACGCTGCAGCCCTCTCGACGATCCAGATGCCTTGCTGTCCCGCCGTCGGCTGCTACTACGCCCGTATCCCCGTCGACGGCGCCGGTCATCCTCGCTGTCAGAATAGTCTGAATAGCTGTCATGTCGACGAGCGGAGGGCCGGCTGGATCGGTGGTCTTCGGACCGGGCGCGGCTAGGCGGAACGGGACTAGGAGAGTATCGCTGGCTGCGGTGGGGCCCTGCTCCGCCGGCATCATACTCGTGAGCGCTCCGGGAAACGCGGCGTGATGCTTTGGGTCGTTCGTAGGAGTAGTCATCGTAGTATGTGTCATCGTCGTAGACGGCGCGGTCTTTGTGGTGGCGGTCGTGTCGTGACGGCATGATGAGCAATCAGAATAAAAATATCTACCAAAAAGTGCCTGGATTTCTTTTGAGAAGCTCCGGGAGCGGAAAGGCTAGGTCGCGGAGGCTTGGTAGCCTATCGAAGAGCAATTTGCTTTGGTCTCTTGTCTAGCTGCAGACAGTGACGGCTTGATTGTTTGATGCGATTGCGCTCAGTGTCCTATTGCCACGATCCGATCAGGGCAGCACGGGGAGGAACTAAGGCCGAGGGAAGGGCAAGGGTGAAACGTTCAAATTCTTGGTATGATTGTCGAGAATGTTGGAAAATTCACTATGTGGAAAAGGAACCACATAGGTAGTCCAGAAAAACAGAACACTGTCAGTAAGTGGGGAGTAACTTCATTATCAAAGGATGTATTTTTGGTTGCGTTTTCCTGTGCGTAAAACATTGGAAACCTCCAAGAACTTTACTGGGCATTTCCTCCTTACTGGCAATTGGTACCCGACTCGGCAGGCTGAATCTTGCTTTCGGGACTTTCCCCTGAGTTCAGGTTGCTTTTACTGGTGGTGGGTGATGTAAGGACTTTTGAGACGGGGCGGGGATCATTTCTGTTTCGAGTTGGAGCTGAGGCGTGCTAGGGCGACGGGAGACGTCAATATGATGCGGCCCGCGCACCCGTTTGCTTTCCACAGCGGGGCGAAACACAGCATGATGTCAGACCGAGCGAGCGGGGAGAAGTCTATCTCGGTGAGGCCTGACGTCCGCCGTTAAGAGTTCGTTTGGATTCTCGGTGAGCGTCGTACGGGCCACACTTCCTTATTCACCATGTTGTTACTCAACGCCAATGATGCACTCAACCCGCCACGATGTCTTTGAAACAATATATCTGAAGATGGCCACAAACGCAATACCATAGTATGAGCAGCTTTTTCTTTTCAACAACAGGGAGTAAAAAGGCAGAGTTACACGTAGATTCTGAAGGCAAGTTGTGAGTACCGACATACTGCCCATTAACTGGACCACGAGTGGGCTTAATTCTATAGACTTCTCACCGAGAGAAGTCAGGAGGCTGGAGGTTCCCCAGCCCCAAAAGCCATCATGATACTGAGCTATAATTCAATCGGCGTTCAGACGATCGATCAGGGACGATCGTTGGGGTTTTCGATCTAAAATCAGGGCTGAACAAGGATGAACATTTCCCCTGCATTGCTTTTGCTGGCTCTTGTGGATGCGGGAGCTTCTAGGAGACTGGTCCGGTCGACAATCTGCCCTTTGAGCCGTGGAACGTGGCGCCGTTAGCGGCATTGAAATTCTCGTGGAAACCAGTCTTTCCTAAATTGAGAAATGCACGGTTGCTGCAGCAGCGAGCTCGGTACGCGTTATGCGCGTTTGCTTCGCGTAAATGATAGCGTCATAGACGAAAGGTGAAGGCCACGATGATATCACGATATTGACCGTGGTGTTTGCAGCCTAGCGAAGGTAGAAAACGACGTTAGGCCGGTTGCCAGAATCTCTATATGAAGTTCTTTGAATCCGGGACCAAGATCTCTCATTGATCTCTTCTTTATCATCATCACAATACTCATCATCACAATACTCATCATCAGTGTTAAACTCAACATAGTTTTCCATTCACCATACACATATTACGGCTTCATTCATCATGCCCTCCAACGAAATTCCAACCGGTGAGGTTAAGGACAACGAGTACGTTTCTCGTCAAGGCGACCATGAGCCCATCAACGTCCTTGGTGATGATGCCAAGGTTGAAGACCCCATCGACGCTGAGACCGCTGACTCCGATGCTCAACTTGGTAAGTTGATCCTCAAGCAAGATCTCAAAATATCGCTAATCAAATGTTAGATCGTGATGACAAAGAGGCCATTGATAAGAGCAATATATTAAAGGAGCGTACCCGGGGCGCTCAGCCTGCTGGAGAGTACCGCGAGCCCGGTGACACTGAGGGCCTTGAGGACAAGCAACTCGAGTAAGCCTTGGTGGAGCAGGAAATATCAAAGCTTAATGTAATAATACGATAATCTGGATTCTTAGCATCATGATGCTTAATTACTGAAATGTTTTCATTCGTAGTAGAGTAGAGCTTGTCAAACAATTCGCTCAATGCCTCCTACCTCAATTACATATGCTTAAAATCCGCATGATAGAATTATTGCCGTGTCTCGTCAAGATTACAAATAATATTATGATGGTGTTCATTATAGTACTTGGACCCCTTATAATAAATAATCTCACATATTAATTATGTCTAGTGATTGCATGACTGGCTATGCTCATGTTTGTATATTGTAAAGCATTGGGATCTAAACTGTTACTGATCATATGGAGTATACTTTTGCTAAGTAAGCACGATTGGTCTCCCGTAATTATTTAACACCTTGCCAACAATATAGCTGACGAAGTAGGACGGCGTTTCCTTAATCGATGGGTCCCGAATGGCCATGCTTGGTGCTGACCTTACGATATCTGATTACCTCGTTACCCTCCTGATCATAGAATCTCTCAGCCACAATTTTATAACCGCCGATAGCAGGGAAGATCTTGGTCCAGAAACCCCAGTAGACGCCGCCCAAGAGAAGCACGCCGACACCAACGATGGGGAAGACATAGTAGGGGTAGCCATCGGCTGTCCAAGAGCCTGTGGGAGGGATGAACGGAACGATACACAGAAAGGCGTTGGCGAGGACGTATAGAACGGTGATTGGAAAGTAAGTATGCCAAGGCGAGGTCCAGCTCTCCTTCTTGTTCCACTGGAGGTAGAGGAGGCCGCTGCCATCAAAATTAGCCAATAGTCCAGACTGTAAGGTCCATTGAGATGGAAGACATACATTCCAACGAACGCGTTGATCCAGGCACCGGGGTATCTAGGAGCAGGTTAGCTTTCGGGTTTGAGCTAGGATTTGGATAGCTACTCAACGTGTAGAGATCTGTGATGAAGTTGTATGCTGGACCCGCCGGCGGAGCAACGAGAACGATGACAGTAACAATCCAGTGAAGGAACAGCTGAGCAATAATTAGTACAAGAAACCCAGGGATGACACCATCACTTAAGGATAACATACCGCTGCAGCAGGAGCGTTGAAAGGTTTGTTCGAAGCCCAGAAGCGACTGAAAGGCAGTAGACCTTCCTTAGCCAGCTCCTGATTTAGACGGGCGTGTGCGAAACTGACAGCAAGCACGTTGCCCAAGTTGCTAATGGCAACGAAAGCCGGTAGAGCTCTGGCACCGGCGCTGTTGCCGAAGACGTTACGGAAGAAGACACCAGCGACGATAACCTCAGACGTGGCAAGCTCGGTCTTAGGGATGGCAGCAAAGTAGGCGACTGGTGCATCGTTAGAACACCATAGATCAAAACTCGCTACTAACGGGGATTTGCGTACCGTTGGCGAGGACATAGAGAATAGTAACACCGCCAATTGCGATGGGAGCAGCAACGGCCAAAGTCTTTCGCGGATTCTTGAGCTCGCCGACGACGTAGTTGGCGTTCTCCCATCCTTTGTAACTGTAGATAATACGAAGGAGAGCAGTCGCGTAGCCGTAGACACCACCATTGCCGTATCCTTCTCCCTCCTCGATGCGGAAAGCGTTGTCAAAGTTGTGGGGATTCGGTACGAGACGACGGCCGGCAAGGGCGGCAAACCCGGAGAAAACGATGAAGAGCAGAACAATGACCTTGAAAACGCCCAGCACATTGAAGAGACGAATGCCCCACTTGGGTGTGATGGCGTGAATGCCAACAGCGAACGTAGCTCCGGCAATACCGATACCGCGGGCGACCCAGCCGTCTGGTGAGCTTGATCCGGACGCGAAGAGAATGTAGCGACCGAAAGCAAGAGAGTTTCCGGAGGAGAAGCCGAGGAGAATCATTTGCGAGGCCAGGACGCAGGTCGCGAGGTACTTGGGATGTTTGTAGGCGCGTTCGAGGTAGTTCTTCTCGCCGCCGGAGCGGGGGATCGCGAGACCGAATTCGAGGAAGACGCTCATGCCGCAGAAGGTGAGGATGCCACCAATGACCCAGAGCATTAGCGCGACGCCCACGGAGCCGGTAGATTGGAAGATACCGGAGGGTGTGGAGAAGACTGGGTTGCGATTGTGAGTGCGTATTCACGTCGCGGACCTCCATCGCTGGACTGTCAGGACTTACTTCCGGTACCGATCATCTTGTTAAGAATCAGGAAGACGGCGCCTGTGACACCGATCTTACGCGACTCCTCAAAAGCGTATGTCTCCTGTTGCTTGACAACGCCAAACTCTTCGGTCGAGACATCGTCCCGCGCAACGTGATTGTCCTCCCCGATATGATGGTCGTTTTTGAGTGGTGAACTCATCGTTGTCGGCGCCTTTGTGCGTTGCAAAGCAATGCCAGCTAGAGACTCAACAACGCAGTAGCAGACTGAAGCTTGCACAGTTGAGACAGGACGATCAGCCGACGGTGGGTTCTCCAGGAGAACCGTTCGGAGCTATATATGTGTGCTCTGCAGACGAGCTCCCTGTTGCATCGCAACCCAAGACAAGACCAACGGTGAACGGGTGATCATCTCATGCAAGGCGTCGCACTGCTGAGCAGGGCCCCGCACGTCATTGCGATGCAACGTCACGCAAGGTTCAAACTGCGTAGCGACTTCTGGCTGGACCACGAGGATGGTATGCCCATGCAATAGAGACATGTGGTCGAAGGAAAGGGAGACAAAAGGCAACAGGTATCGATGAACCTTGGGAGCTTTAGCGAATCAGACGTGGAGAAAACCACAAAATAGCCTCATCGGCCTAACACCCACCCTTTCAAATCTTAAAAGTTTTCACGGCGCTCCAAAAGAAATCGTGCATTTCACATGGATGTGTACCACGAGCGGCTGACACGAGGCGGCGACGGACGCTACTGGGCTCTCCAGGGCGTAAGAGCTGCTCCTCAGCTGCCTTTTGAAGCTGAATCGCCATTAATGCCGGCAAGCTCGCGAGTACGCGGCCGTCCACTGAACGTTCTCGCTGATCGCGCTGAGAGTGCTGTGTTGTCTTTGAACGGCCAGGATAGGTGAGACGAGCGTCGCCGCCAAGAGGGCGTCAGCAGGCTGGGCTATCTCGGCGGCGGCAAAGGTGCCCGGGGACCGAGCTAAAGGGCTTCCAGTTGCGGAAGGTCGTTGGAAAGCTCTGGAGGTGGCCGTATCTAAAGCATCTTGGCGTTCCTCCAATGCTGGAGTTCAGACTGTGCCGTTGGAGCATCCTGGGGAGCCTGGGGACCCCAAGACCGCTGTGGAGCGGCACAGGAGGCTAGAAGGGTTCTCATCTGCCCTACGTTGCAGCGCCAAGGAGACCGATGGTGAGAATGAGGAAAGCCAAAGGGCTTTTGGTCGATGTCGTGCTCGCGGGGGTGAGATGGCGACAGAGGCCGGTGCAAAATGCGCCATTTGGCTCATCCTGACTTGCTGAACGCGCCAAGCAAATGTTTTGTTTCGCGCGCTAAAGCCTCGAATACCCGCTACCATGCATAGCCTAACTAGTCTAAGTGAGATTAACTTTAAATAATTATACACTATAATGAGCCGGACTACTTGAATCGAACCAAGGGTCTACGTCGACGTGCACTCGATTTTTCAATTTCTCTCATAAATAATGCATTCTACTTCGAGTATTTCCTACTTTCTTCGAGAGAAATACTCCTCGCTCTGATTTGGTTTCTTCTTCACTGGCCGGGACTTATGATGCCTAATTTTGCCCACGGCAGTGAGGACGGGTTCAAAACCAATCATCCCAACAGCTGAACCTGCTTGGGCCAAATAACGTCTTCGAGCATAAATTAGCATATCTCTCGACGCTCCGACTGCAACCAAATTAACCTTGTGCATCATCAGATATTCTGGCCTTCATTTCAACTTTCCTTAGTTGAACTCGGTCAGCCACTGCGGCCCACAACCATCCCGGAGCTTGGTACATTATGTATTTGGGCGCGGTTGTAGGAGGCCAAAGGCCATAGTCCACATTAGCTGGCACCCCAAATTGCCCTGCCATATACCTGCGATGTGCTGGTCTTCGAGCGATATTCTTTCAGCTTTCGCCAAATCCCTCCAAATACTTCTGCTTTCACTAGGTCGAACCAAAGATGGTGTATCAAAAGACCGTCTTCATCGGGAAAAGGCTCACCGCGGATCATTCAAACATGACAGAGTGATTGGAAGTGATCCCCCCGTTCTAGTCCAGAAATTTCATGGTAACCCCCTGGAGAAGACCTCAGCTGTGTTCCTCTGTATAAGTTCTCGGATAACCTGTCGTTAGCTAGTGTGAAATCACCTTTGTAGAGAGAGGTCTTCTGCCGATCCTATGCTCCTCTGTCACTGACCGCGTTGGAAACTTCAAAGACCCACAACGATGCTCCCACGATAACATACGGTCAGACTCGAGAACCATTTTGATGTGAAATATCGGTCATCTTCGACGATGGGCATTTGGATTCTAACCGTGCGAGAGCGAATGGTGAGCAAATGGCTCGCGGGTTGTCGAAATATTGCAGTAGTGTCAATCTTGACAGGAAAGGCCGGATTCGTGACCCCAGTCAGGGAGTTCGTGATATTGTTGGAACAGCACCCAGTCAGTCAATCAAGAGACGCCTGACACTTTGATAAACAAATCGAGATATATATGGTGTTTGACATGACTGGTAGTTCTTCGAAAAAACATCCATCCAGTAGTTGAGTATAATTGAGCGTAGTTCTTTGCTGCAAGTTTTACTGGCTATTTGCTGAACCCAGCAATAGAGGGGTTTTGTATTACAGCCATCGATGGTAGCATTTCTAGTCATCATTGTTGACAAGAAGGCTATATTACCCTAGAAAACTTAAGTCCGTTGAAACAGGTAGAGAAAGAACCCGAATTGGTTATTAAGTAGGCATTTTAATGCCCGTCTTCTGTTATGACCTGATTAACCCAGCTTCTAGCAACATATGTAATGCCATCATCCTTGGTAATCCAAACATCTGTCTTTGTTTCATGACCTTGTAAATAATCTAGACAATCGATCAACAAATTGCTCCCAACGTATGGGGGTAACTCGACTAGTAAACCCCCCATGACAAGAGGTACTTACTTCCTTGGAAATTGAGGAAGGTCGGAACAGCCCGGAATCCAACTGATCCAAGGTCGTCGATCGTAGATAGAAATCTTCGTTGTAACTGAATCTGCAAGAGAAAGCTCCATACTGAAAGTTGCTGTATTTCTTACCGGTTGACTAAGCCTCATTAAGCTAGGGGAACCGTCTGTGTTCTCAAAATGACAAGTCTGCCGACGTGATACGTGCAAGGCCAATCGCCCCGGTCTTCTCAGCATAGCTTTTGTGTTTGAATGCATAAAAACTCGGATAGTTCAAAAAGAAGCCGCTACCATTTACGGAGCTCGTCAGGCTTCTCCAGCTCAAGAAGTAGGGCTTCAGAGATCTACCACTTGTTGTATCGGAAATGGAGCTGTCGATCAACGTTTGAGACATTCTCCGGCAATGACACACTGCTGCAAGTCGATTCACGAGCATTGTAAGTCTTGGTGAGCTGCGAAATTTCTTCTTAGAGGTATATCCAGCAGCGACTGAAAAGAAGAGCAGTAAGAAGCAGTTCTTAGTTTTTAATTCTATCAAAAGGTTTCCTGGAACAGAAGACTAATACTGGTAGTTCAACAAGTCCGAAACTGTGGACATAACTTTTTGAATAGGTATATCAGCCGCTAGGCCAAGCATGGGCATCGTATCATTCAAAGATGCTGGCCGTGTGTCGACTTCGCCTGAGGGCAGGTTTCGCCGCCCAGCAAAGTCCAAAGTCCGGCTCTTGGGGTCGACCTGCTGCCACAGCCACCAAAGTCTGTCTATCTGCACATGATGCAAGAAGAAGAGAGGATCTATAGGATGTTTAGGACTCGGCCAAAATGTAAGAAATAAATGAACTTACCATTCGGAGAAGTTGAAGGAAATAAATCCCCGCCCACAGCTGAGTGAATCGCGCCATGGGGGTCTGTTTCCAGAGCAGTTGCAAAGACGGAAAAGTTACCAGAGTTCTCAATGATGCCTGATACCTTCTCTGGGGAGTACAGGTCTCCTTCGTACCGGCCGGCATTGAGTCCAATCCCGTCGTTAAATCCGCGATTCAGGCAATGTGGCCGCGCCGTCGTCTCAAAGTATGAGACTGTGAAGTTGGCAAAGGCGCCGTCGGTGACGCACATCGTCAGGGGGTTGGGCCGGGTCGGAGAGACCCATCCGCCGTTCAGTCCGTTTCCTCCGAAGCCCATAGTTGCATCGGAAGAGAAGACAGGGCTCTTGGACATATCGTCGGAGTCTAAAGTCCAGTCCCAATAGGTCATAGAACCCTCATAGTTGCACTCGTCCCGTAATGCCATTTCATAAATATGGACGAAATACCGATGCCATGGGAGGAACTGGGCGACGAAATGAACTGCAAAGTTGAGCCAGGGTCCCACGTAGACGTTCTTGATTGTGAGCTGGATACAAACTTACTTTCATTGTTGAGCTTAGCGTGCACGTAGGGGAAGTCATTGTAACGCGACGTTTCAAGACCAATCTTGGACGGCAATCTGTCCAAGCATTGCACTGCGTCAATGTAGGCCGCTTTCGCAGTGTCTGACAACGATCTCCATTCGACTCTTGCAGATGGTTCTTGTGTCGGTGCTGCGCTGGTCTTGGCAATTAAAGAAACCAACAACGCGATACTGCTGGCAGAGTTGGAGTACCTCATGATGGCTAGTGATTGATGGCGATGAACAGAAGTTGAAGTGGATTGGATTGCAGAAGGCGAGTCATATTGGGCCCTAAGTATGACTTTCACAACAAAATCTCGTATTCCTTGATCCACACTGGGTGCTGGGGTCTATCCGTCAATTTAGCGTGCAATTTCAGCAGTCTCGTACAGGAATTACCCAGGTGATCCCTCGGCTCCGACCCATAAACAAATACGAAACCGCTCTTAGCTAAATCCAGGTGCAGGGCTTGAACAATGGAGTTTGATTAATAAGGAGAAGAACAGGAAATGGATAGTGCGTTCCGGATAAGCAGAAACGCCGGCAAGAACTCGGATCTGGACCAGCTTGCTTTCGGCGCATCTTACGGTCATCAAACAAGCTTCTGTATTGGTTCTGCCTCATTGTTTAGTATCCAGCGTGGCATGTAGTCTGTCACAAGGTTGGCTGCATCGGCGTCGGCTATGTTGAAAGGCCTCTGCTAAATTTAGCTTTCCACCCGTCTTGAATCCCTAGGAGATTAAGAATCACCCTAGTCGCATGAACCCACATGCTGGCAGTAGTATCCAGATTCGGTGTGATCTTTGATCGAAACTTACCGTGTACAGCCCCGGGCTCCTGTTCATCCAATTCGAACACTGCAGAACCCAGCATATAGTAAACGGAACTCCACCCGATCTACGATGAGGGCACGAAACTGGGCAGTATTGCGTATTTGGAAGACAATGCTGTGCTCCATAGACATAGGTTCTCTTTTTGTACAACTTTGATACACCAGTGCACGATGATCAGCAGCGGACTTTGTGTAAAAGTCATCGCTAATCTAATATTTAAACAGCATGTCTAACCGAAACTTGATCATGTAAAGAAGCTTTCTTACTGCCAAACATTGAAGGAACACATCAACTGGGACGGAGAGAAATAAGAGGGACTAGCTCAGAACTCCGAACATACTCCAAGCAAAATTTCAAAATGCGCATGAAGACAGCATCGTTGAGCTACGTCGCATCATGATCCCATCGTCATCGAATGAGGTTTTTGCAGCACTACGACGAGGTATTTCCATGGGAGTTTTTAGGTCGTGATTAGAGATCTCCGCTATCCTAATGTCTGTCGCGGGTCTGTCGTCTGCGTCCTCGGCGGTGCTTCGGACAAGAGTAGATTGAGACGGTGACTCTGTCATATCGCCATGGCTTGCATTCAGAGAAGGGTCTTGACTTCGCGGCCGTGAGGGACTTAGGGTAGTATCGTCCGTCTCTAGCGCAGAGGCGGACCGGAGAGTGTTATATCTCGAGGGTTCGCTGTGGAGATTCATGCCTGGAGGCCGGCTGTCTTGGCCCAGTACGAGACGCACATGCCCTCCACCCGCACAGCAATCTCTGATATCATCGAATATGTCAATAACGTGGGTGAAATAGGCGATCCTTCGATCATCTTTGTTCCCGCCATACAGGTTTCGGCCCCAGACCTGGCCAATAAGGCGCGAGGTTTCGTCATGAATCACTGCAGCTCCCGAGTCTCCGGGTATTCCAGGACCTCCGCAAATCCAATCGTTAGTTGATCCAATCCCGTCAGATTCTTCGAGAAACCATTCCCTGGTTGGTTCATTGGGTATCTGATGAACCTCAGCTGGCGTCTCACACACCACGGCGTATCTGAGCCCACTAGTGCGTCCGGTTGTGCGGATGATGCTCAACTGAGGAAGTTCTGTATGTTCTCCTCGGATTGGTTCTGAAACGTCGTGGAACTCTATCCCAGGCGGTGCATATCGTAGTCGATTTTGAAGCAACTCGTCTCCAAGTGCAACACAAAAGGCCCAGTCTGTTACTACGCTCATGGTTTGTTTCTTGTTCTGCGGAATTGAAGTTGCAAACCGTCTGAGAGACTCGGAAAGCCGCCAGGTCCGATACATGGGCCCTGAATGTGCGTGGAGCTTTGCGATTTTTGTCGGTTTCTCATCCTCTTGACAGTCATTCGGCGCCGGGTGAACCAGATAGTGCTCAGGAACAACAGAATCTATACCAAGCTCTCCGCAATTCGGGAGGTCCTCAAAGAGATGCCAATTGACAAGCCACCCTTGAGCATTACCGAGCGTAACGGCAGGACCGAGAGTTGCGGCACCGTCTACTCCTTCGACTCCAACAGAGTCACCGCATACTTGCTTCAAGTACCTTGACGGATTTTTGGGGTAGACCCAGTTGTCTTCCTCTTGGTTTGAATCAGTTGTAGCGGCGGTATGCTTGATGGTTCCAACACGAAATTGAACTTCGACACTGAGTTGCTGTGCATTTTCGAAACATAACATTACGTTGTGTTTGACCTTTTGATCAACGCCGCTAGGAAGTACGTCAGGCGTCATGACCTCAACGATTCGCTTGCTGGCTGTGTAGTTGAACTGGATGGTAATGCTATAGTCGCCATTGTAGTTGTCGTTCAGGGTCTTGCGTAGATGGGGCAATCCTTCAGACTCCCATAATTCGTTGAATTTCTTGGAAGTTGCAGCTCGTTCTTTCAGTCTCTCGCGCAACTGTTCAAGATCGGATGCGTGCTTTGCCATTCTGGTGGGAGTAACTGTTGTTGATACTGGAAGTGCGAATGGTGTTTTGATTGGTCTCCCTGCTCGGGGCGACACGGGTGTTTCCTGCTCCTCTTCTGTGATGCGTGGCGATAGAAATATTGGCATGGAGTTGCGTTTCAGTTGCTGTGTTTCAGATCGTGCCGATTGGAATGGATGGGTTTGTCGGCGACGTAACAGCGCGTGTTTGATTTTCGATGCCGCAGAGCTTAGTGAACTGCCTGCACTGCTAAGATTGCTGCTCCACGTTGTAGTTTTCGTAGACGATCGAGGTGCGTTCGGCAATAGCTTGTTTGAATATGGGGTTCTCAAACCTACATGGGACTCAGGTGCCAGCTGAACCGATGCAGCTGAGTCGCCATGGTTTACGTGTTCTAGGCTCGTCAGATTTTGCCACGGGCGCGGCTGTGTGAAGTCCTCCGGAAGTATATTTGAGTTTGAGGATCCGAAGGGTAGACATCGCCCCAGTTGCCACTCATTTCCTGTATTTATCGCCTGGGGATGAGCTTCGACTTTCTTCTTGGGCTCGGAAGGTTTCTCCCTAAGATGCCAATGGTTAGTTATCAAAGCCTTTGTTGCACCAATCTCCACACTACTCACTTATTCCTCGCCCCTTTCTTGGCTTTCTTGGGCCTGGGCCTCTGGCTGCGACGCTGGCAATCTTGTTCGCGTCTTTTGGGTATAAACGCATCTTTGATTGACCTGACATCTTTCCATGACTTGGGCAAATGCATTTCAGGACGTATCGTAAGATGGTAGCTATGTTGAGGTTGGCTCGGAACCCACGTTGAAGGAGAACTGGCTAAAACACCCGAAATCGAGAGTTGTCGAATCCAGTGCCCATCCGTCAGGGCCTGCCATGAAAGTCATACTGGAATCAAATACCCAAGCTCAGCTGAGCCTGATCGTCTCTGCGCGGGCTTGTATCATCGAGAATGGTGTTGTAAAGCCATGGCTGCCTCATGGCGTTGAGGCTGTGTACGGTAGAAATGGATGTGGAAAAAGTCCTACAGCCTACAGCAACAGCCTAACTGCTCTCGGGGCGGAATGATGCCCTGCGTGGCCCCCAATACGTCAGCTGAAGGGCACTATTGTGTCTTGGGCATGCTTGACCCGCCTATCGAGGCGGGCTGTGAGCTTCTCGGCCAACAGCAGGGGTGTGATTGGCCATAAGATATGTGCTAAGCCATAGGCTTCGATGGCCTTGGTAAGTACGGTGCAGTCACTCCGCGAGATAAGAGCCTCACTACAAAACGGCAATCATTTCCGAAGCTGTAAACCGTCAACTTCCTCTTCAGGCACATACATATTGTGGTACTATGCTCGTCCTGACCGCTTTTTGGTGGACTCGTTATCCCGTTTCTATGGTTTCAAGATGGCCGGTGTCCCGCCATAAGTTGCATGAGATCCCGATGTTTACAGAGGCCTATCATTGTTCCCTGTAGAATAATACGGAATATTTGCAAGGTTGAAGCTCTTGAGCTAGGGATTTTGGAGCAAAAGCATCGTGTTTCTGAGACGCTGACTAGCGGTAGCCCTACGCTTGACCGATGGATCTATAGCTTGTCAGTCATCCATGGTCTCAAGTGCATCAGCAAAACCTTGAAAACTATGATCCTCACCTCTCCGCCCAGAGCCTTACCAATATTCCCAATCAACAGCTCTGATTGTTAGCGAAGACGTTCCAGTAGTCTCGTGAACCTCTGGCCGCTGAGCATCAGGCCTTCTTGTGCTCAATCATTTGGGCAGGTCCTAGTGATGTAGTGGGCACCGTCCACAAAAGAGCCGAAGGAGAGATCTCCCTGGCCTTACGAGTCTGTACAAGAAATTAGAATTCTCAAAGTGAAGATAGAGTGATCAATATCCAGAACGAACGCTCTGTCGAGGTACGTCTTTGTACCAGCCCTCGAAGAACCAATCACAGAATGTTCTTTTAACATCGTTTTACTCAGTTGTTTGGGCAACGCTGTGTTTGGGTGACGAGGAAGAGGATGATAGGCCCCCCTTGATGTCCGCGGTTTCGTATAGACTATTTACATGAGACCGTGTATACATACTGAAAGCGATCTCCGTAACTATGTTTGCAAGAGCCTGTAGTTGAAATTTTACCCAACCCCATAGTTGAAGGAAATTTCAGCCGTTCGCCTCAAGCAATAAGGGCATACCGAAAGGTTTGCACTGGCAACTATAAGCAGGGGGTGATGCTAAAAAACCCACCTAAGAGATATTAATTGGTGAAAAAAGCTTACTGACGCCTGTGTCTAGTTCGGAAAGATTAAAGTAATGACGCGATGTGAAAGACTTACCGGAAACTCGAATCTGGGGTTGTAATGGTGGTTGGTCGTTCGTGTTTCCTAAGCACTAATGGGGGTTCGGAGTTTGTGAGGAAGGCCGATTTGATAGCCCAGGTGTGTCGCGCGTCAAACCATGGTCATACTTGTGCGATCCCATGCATCGGTGTTGTCTTTCATGGAAAAGTCAAATTCCGGGAATCTCAAGACAATAAGCCTTCTAGCACGCGTCATGTATAAGTACTCTGAGTCCTATGGGACAAAGATGGCCATGCAATAACTAGACCAATTGCGGCAGTTTTCTTTGTTACACCATAAGGTCAGAGAAGCCAAAGACCATGAGTGCATACTTAGATATGTTGATTATCGTGGCCGTCATTCCATTCACCTGCCTCAATGCAGCTGCCATGGTTAGACGAAGTTCACTAACTATGGCCTCTTACAAGTTTGATACAATTTTGAGGTGTAATATGAAGCTGATGTACGAGTTTTGACACAGTGAATTCGACCGAAGCTTTCCAATATAAAACGCGGATTTCTTTTACACTCGTTCATGGCGTCCCTTCCATGTTTTCGATGCGCACGTAGGCGATGGGAGTACTACTGATTTCAGACAACGGGTCTCAACGTGATCAGTTAAGCCACCAAGTAGAGTGAGAAACCTGGAGAAGAGACTGTTGGGCTGTATTGTAATTTCCTGGGCTAGTGCTTTCACAGCTGACCATAACTCTGTACACCTTATCATAGCCTCGTTGGCTCAGGTGTGATCCGGGCTTAGAGGTAAGGATACGCTTGATTCAACACAACCCAAATGCCTCGCTTCACTGATTCATGAGTCTATCTCGTCATTGTTGAAAATCTCAGCGAACGCCTTTGGAAGCATCGTTCAAAGCTTATAATTGATGGCTGGGAAAGAACTCGATACTTTATCGCAACAGCTACCATTGGGTAGGGCGATGGTTTGGTCTTGATTGTACATCATACACTCTCGCCTTCTCGAGTAGTAGTGACAGGTAACGGCAGTTAAAAACCGATAGTTTTGTCATACAAGGTGGATTGAACTTGTAGTATGTATTATTGCTTCGCAAATTTTATACAACCTCTGCCTCCATTACGGGTGCTGGACAGTCGGCATCCACTTAGACAACAAGACCTCTTATATGGTTGATGATATGACCCTCGACTTGCCTAAGCATTAGTCAAGTTTCTTTCACCTTGATTATACGACCCTTCGAGTACCTCCTCTTGTTCTCACTTTGTGTCAAACCTAACCTGAGCACGAAGCCAGTGGAGTTTGTGTGTCGACCGCAATGAACCGGAACTAGTATCATAGACCTCCAACACATGGTCCTGCCACCCATTTCAACACGCCGGGGCTTTCACCCTAGATTATGATGGTAAAGAAGTCACTGGATGCTGCATTTTGCTAGGGACCGTTCGACATTGTCATAGCGTCTTGGTCAAGCCAAGACCGGGCGTTGCAGTCTTATCGAAGACGTCGAGAAGCTTTCCACGTGCAAGTCGGGCTTACCCTTGGCGTCACGGGCCGCAAACATCCCAAAAGTCAGATTGAGGAACTACACTAGCCAACGAGATTGGATCGCCAGTAGCCTCATGACGTTCTGGTGTCTTACCTTGTGCGATTTGCGGCACCGACGAGTTGGTTTTACTTTCTTGACTAGAGGAACGTCGGTTGGTTAGTCCCCCCATGTCAATACCTGCCAAGTTCCAGGAGAACGGGCGTGTTCCCAGGCCATTTCCGGGCGAACACTGACGCATTGCGAGAACCAGCAAGATTAGGGACGAGGTGCAGAACAAAGAAAGGGCACTGCGAGGGAGGCTATGATGTGGTCAGTGGCTTCGGCACAGCCACCCCTGACCACGATGCGAACTGGGTATGTACCCTTCAATCGTACCGGACTCCAATGGACCAACACAGGCTCCAACAAACGGATGTTACCTTGTCGCGTGGAGTGGGTGGAAAGGAGGTCGATGGAGGAAACAAGCAGCCAGCTCAGCAAACAACCAGGGGCTACGTACCGGCTTAGTCAGCACACTACCTGTTGGAGTATTGTTTGCTCTTTCTGGGCGGGCCCACTTGTGGCCGTGTCAATTTCAACCTCGATCCGCCCATGTTTCTCCTCATCTCATTCAGCAAAATCCCATCAAAGCTTGTTCATGTTCTTCAATGCTTACGAGCCCCGTCCAAGGTTGCACACAAGACGCTCCCTCCCCGCCCCGTTCTGTGCTCTCCTGAGACCCATCCCACGTACACGCACGCGTCCACCTGCTTACCGGAGATTGTCTGCACCCGCTGCCGCTCGTCCCGTCGTAACCTGTGGATCTGCATATTGTCGACCAGGGACCCGGATTCGCGGTGCTCGGGCGCCCCTCACTGTGGCTCGGACTGTAGGAGAAGTCAGCGAACTTTGTCCCGCTCTGTACGGATATCGATCCCCCACGCCTCTTCTAGTTTGTGCCGGATGGGAGCCCCGTGACCCGGTTCGACGCGCCCGACGCTCGCTCGAATCATGGGCGAGAACCAGGACGACGACCATCACCAGAATGGAGACGTCAGACGGCACAGCGAGCCTACCATCAAGCGTCGTCGCATCACCAAGGCCTGCGACTTTTGCCATCGCAGAGGGAGGAAATGCAAGCCTGTGCCCGAGGGGAGCGGGGTCACCACTGGCGCAAGCCCCGGCGGCACCCTTAGCTGTCTGACCTGCATCGAACACGGCGCAACCTGCACTTGGAACCGAGTCGCGGCCAAGAGAGGTGTCAAATCCAAGACATCACCGTCTTCTTCGGTCAACAACAAGCAGACCCATTCTGGCGATGATGGCGACGGCGACAGATGGTTCTACGACGAGAGCCGGCATGGAAGCCGGAGTCTCATTTTCCGTCTCATTTCCATCTTCTTTGATACAGTATACCCCGTGTACGTGCATCTCTCCTTGCCGTCTCGCAGCTGCGTTCGGCCTCCAAGACATTGGACACACTGACAATAATTGCAGTTTTCCTTTCTTCGACGAGATCTCACTGCTTAGAGACTGGGAGAACACCAGTCTGTCGTCAAGTCGGGCCTCTTTTGCCCGCCTCATGGCCATCTGCGCTCTGAGCTCATGTCATGTCAGCGACGGGGCCGTTTTCAACCCGGATCTGCCAGCACCACTTCTCCCTCAGCATCACCAGGCCTATATGGAAGATGCTCAAAAGGCAATTCCAGAAAGCAATCGAGAAATCGGGAGCTTCGAGGCATTCGATTATCTCCAGGTACTCGGCACGCTGTCTTTAGCTGCAACGCAGCTCAAGGATGACCCCCTCTTCCATGAATGTATGGGCCGTTATCACACCCTCGTGGCGCAGCACACCTTTCACTTCGAAGCTCGCTGGCCCTCAAATCTGACCTATCCAGAGAAGCATGTACGGCGCCAATTCTTTTGGTCCATGTACCGCTTGGAAGTCCACGCAGCACTCATTGACGGCCACGTAATACGTTGTCCGGAACTGCAGTGCGCTGTTGCGTACCCGCAGCAGGTTGACGGCCTGGCCGGCATCATTGATGCCTCGGGGCAGACGGAAAAAACACGATTCCGTCACGGCAGTTGGCTTACCGGCTGGAACTACATTACCGATCTTTATCGCGTATTGGAACATGTCATTGTGCGGATGCGCAAAGATCGACTCAAGGCACTGGACAGAGGCCCAATCGAACACGAGCCATTAATGCCCTCGATCGACAATATGTTGGAGAAGGTACTGGAGAAGAAGAGCAACCTGCCGCCGTATGCGACGCATGCATATCCCGCATCCCATGACGTTGAAGCAAACTTGTGTGGATTCCAAGTCGCCAACATTGCGTGCACTTTTCAGGTGAGCTCATCCCGTTCCTATAGCAAGGAGGAATCGCGGCTAAACTTCTCCAGTTACTTCGAATGGCAGCGTTTGCTTGTCACAACAAATTCGAGGATGCTTGCGGCGCCGCTCTCGAGTTGATACATGAAATCACGGCAGTGCCTGTGGAATATTTGCGCGCAATAGGTTATCCGATGGTATGGGCGTCTTTGCCTCACTCACCCATCCAAGCTAATCGAGTCTCAGCTACAAGAATTGGCTGGTGTCGCTCACCTGTTGAGTAGTTTCATCACAAGGCAATTGTTTGACTGGCAGTATTATAAGCTTCGCGAGGTGATGTAAGTTGGTGACAGCTTCACGCTACACCGCAAACCTTGAACCTAACACTAACTGGTTAAGGACATCCATGGCGACTTTCCTCCAGAGTCTTGCCCCATCACTTCCTTCAGCCAGCCAGGCTGGAGCAAGGATTTTCCAGTATATCCACAAACTGGAGGAGATACTCGTACGACAGAGTCAACCAACACCAGCAGTGGCACCAATGATGCATTCTCAGTTAGAAATGGCTGACGAACCACGAACCATGGGCATGATGCCGCAACAGCAACCGCAACCACAGCTACCCCCACAGAACGGCTTGCTTGAACAGTATGCCCTACCCAACACGGCGTTCTACAACTTTCAAACAGACTTCATTGGAAACATGTGGACGAACGCATTTAACGATTCCGCGGAAATTGACTGGGCTAGCGCCATCGAAAGCTGGGGGACTACCTAGCTTGAGCTGATGTCCGTCCAACTTTATGCCATCTATATATGCATGCTCTTCTCGTGACTATCATCATTAATCATACAACCGCACAAGCCTTCTCCTAAAATACCTGTTCAGCATTACTCGTTAATTTTGCATTATGAATGACGCACACGCCCTTGGCGTCGTCTGTGCATGAAGCTGTCGTTTCCAGGATGGTCGTCTCTTCGGTGAGGTGTGATAATATGTTGATGCCGGCACGCACTCCGTCAACCGTTCTTATTCCCGGCGGGAAGGTCGCTAGGATGTCTCCTTCTAGTGCAGTCATGCCCGCACAGCCGAGAATGATGCTTCTTGCACCGCTGTCGATCAATGGTTTCGAGAACGTCGTTATACGATCAATGACCACCTCTCGGTCCAGACTCTCCAACTCGAGTGGGCTGAGTCCAGTCGCCATGACGCCCGCCGAGTACTTGCGGAAGCCGAGGTTGACTACTGAGTCGGTTAACGGCTTTTCCCATGCACGGGCCGTGGTCACGATGCCAAATTTCCCGTCGCATTGCGTGGCTTCTTGAAGGGCAGCCTGGAACATCCCCATGATGGGAATGGTGACCAGTTCCCTTAGGGCGTATACGAGAGGATGATCCGAGAAACAGCAGACGAGGACGCCTTCGACGGTGTGAGAATGGATGTAGTCAATCGCCCGGGGTAAAAGAGCTCTGGTTGATTCTAATGCTTGCGCGTGGTTCTCGATGCAAGGCGGACAGCCAACGAGGCCGTGGCCGTCAATGAACGTTATCTGAAGACTAGGGGTTGACTTGTAAATTCGACTAAGGTCCTCGGTCATGGCAGTGGTTGATATCGGGATGATGCAGAGCAGTCTTATCATAGGAGGGCCTTGGGAGGCCATTGTGTACGGAAGGCCGTAGAAACACGACACCATCAAAAGGAACGGAAATGGGATGCATGAAAAGGAAAGTCGTGACGTTTATGCTCTATGAGATGGAATAGAGCGGCTCACCGTGCCACCCGTTTTCAGCAGCTATTCAACCGCGAGCGCACTTGTGGCCGGCACTATTGATGGGTAATTCAGCAGCTTAGCCGCCGGATGCCCCCTCTTCCACGCGACGAAGCCCCGTCTACCTGCGGAAATGGCGCCAACTGCATGTCTTCCGCGTCGGCATTTGGATGCAAGGATCGTACGATTCGGGACCCTCTTTCTAGCGATCTTGTCCCAGGATCTCTTCTTACCTATCGCGGAGGCGGGGACGACTCCGACGACGATGGACTAATCCGGTGTGGATGGCAACTAAGGAAGTGGGTATTTCATTTGAGTTGATTGGAACATGCATGCGGGATGATAAGATGTCCACCCTCTGCGAAATGGTCTTGCTTGTATTGGACGTGCTCTTTAGTCCAAGAATCTACGCCGACGAAGGGAAGTAGAGGCTTGCTCGCTTCGCAATTACAACATTACACACCATCTCTTTACAGTTACCTTATGCCACCTTGTCATCACCAATATTCCGGCATTTGCCCTCGTCCACTTCCGCAGATACCTTTGATGGTGTCTGCCCACGGCCATCGAGCACCGTCCCTTCCGGAGGACCGAATGTGCCAAAATAGTCAGCATCGTCGACTGCACGGGGGCTTTTGATCGGGAAAGCATAGTGCAAGAGACAGTACGAGACAAGGGCTAAGGTGCATCCCAAAGGCCACGCTAGGTAGTAAAGGTGAGTCCACCCACTCTTCTCAACAGTAGGATTTCGCACTCTCTGCACGAAACCTGGAAGCAGAGAGAACGTGCCTAGCGTCCATGATATGCACGCCCTCCAGTTGACACCTCCACGGTACCAGTATATACTATTGCTGGTCACTTCGTACAGGTGCGTCAGCTTCAGCTTGCGCCCGCGTACGATGTAGTAGTCGGCGAACATGACACCAGTCATGGATCCGAGAAAGACGCCGTAGCCGCCCATGACGGTTAGGAACTTGCTCGCGCCGTTCATGAGTTGCCAAGGCTGCATGATGAAAGCGAATGCCGCCGTGAGGTACCCGCCCCTTCGCAGATTGAAGAACCTCGGCAGCAGCGCCGACAAGTCGATGCCATTCGACAGCGCATTCTCCGCGACGGCGATTCCAAATTGCGCGAATATAAAGGCCAGACTCGCAAAGAACACCGCCACCCGCACGCCGGCGGAATTGCCGTAATGAACCTGCATCGCGTCGAGGAAGCGATACGGCTCCCAGACCAAGGTCCCTTCCGTTTTGGGAAACAGCTGCGCGGCACACGAGGTGCAGACGATCCCAATGAAGGCGACAACTATGGTATTAAGGGGCACGAAGAGCAGTTGCGACATGAGCTGATCGCGCGGTCGGCGGGCAAAGCGGGTAAAGTCGGACTGACTGAAGATGTGCGTGCTGATGCCACCAATGTTGGTACATACTCCCAGGGCGAGCATCCAGCCCAAGTGCGACCCGCGCGCCTGCTGAACGCCCGCCGTAGATGTGATGTCGGTAAGCATCGGGCCCGCGCCACGGGCTGTTGCGACACACCAGATGAGAAGAACGAAGACGGTAGGGATGACTGTGCAGGCGGCGATGGCGAAGGGGATGTGGTACCGCTCCGGGCGGATGTAGATCAAGGGCAAGCAGAGAATGGAGAAGACGATGAAGCCGATAAAGTCGGCAACAGTCATGGTGCCGTTGGCCAGGGGTGTGTCGAGGTTGTTGAAGGACGGCGCCATCGACGAGATGAAGGTCCGCACGCACTGCCCGCCCCAGTAGACCTGGGTCGAGTACCAGATGAAGGACAGCATGATGCGCTGCACGAGGGGGAAGAGCGCGCCGTACATGCCCCAACTTGCCTTTTGCAAAATGGAGAAGCCGATGTGCCACTTGGCGCCAGGCCCGCCGGCGAGCACGCAGATGAGGCCGACGAGGCAGTGGCCAATGATGACAGTCAGCATAGCCTGCCAGACGTTGAGGCCGAGCGCGATAAGAGAGGAGCCCGTGGTCCAGCCGCCGATGTTGAAAGAGCCCGTGACGACCCAGAGGCCGACGAACTGCCAAGGCCCGTAGGTGCGGCGGTCGGGCGGGAGGGGCCGCGTGTCGCGGTTCATGTAGGCTGATGTGACGACATCGGTCTCGCGGGAGACTTGGATGCGGCGGAGGAGGGCCGCTGCCGTCATCTTGGGCGGTTGCTTGCTGACAACTCTCACAGTGGTTGATGGTTGATTCCGTTGTGTGTGTGTGTGGGCTGTTGACGATGGTCTCCCCGCTAGCCAACCGACCTTTCCACTCCCCGCTGTTGAGCGGTTGATCTTAGGTGTGGTGGTTACGGGTATTGCTCACGTTGATGTAGAGCTACTTTCCGCCCTGAAAGCCCTGTGTGCGCCGTCTCGCCAGACGGACCAGGCGGTGAAAGTGGAGGATTGAATCAGATGGAGAATAAAAAGACTGGGATATAGTGACAAGACGAGGCGGGGGACGATGAAAAGGGGGGCGCTACACCAGACCGTAAACGGACCAGGCGACTTTGGGTGGCTGTTATGTTTTTTGCTTGGTCTGTGACGCTCTAGCTTGAAAGCTTAGATAGTGGCACAGATCGGGGAGTGTTCAGAACGGCAATAGGTTTTGTCAAACGAGTCGCGGAATAGTAATCTCGGGAAAGCTTAATACGGGAGAGATATGTTTGTTCACATCACAATGCTGAACCCAGACGTCCTTGGGATTGATATTTGTATCAACAGGCTTCCTCGATCTTTACGCACATCGAGAACACGGAAACTAGGAGACTGGTAACAGGAAGAAGCACGGGAGATGACGAGGATGATGAGGATTTCCTATTGGCATGGTTGCTAGATGCCAGCTTGCGAGGAGGATGACAAGGGGAAAGCAGCCCAATCTTACTGTATACGGTATGCCATACATGATGTGGGTGCGCCTCGCTGACCAAGAAATCCACGATGGGCGAAGTGCAGGGTCAGCTCACCGATTGTTGGGGGTTAACATCCCAGGCGCTCCAGTCCTTTGAAACAAGAGGGCATCCATTAGCAGCCGGGACTCTGGGAACGAGGGTGGAGAGGTTTGTCAGATTTGTTGGATGGCTTTTCGTGCTTGTGTGTGTTCGATAGTTGCACCATGGACAGTCTACAAGAGTCCAGCCAAGTGCAGATATGCATGCGTTTGTTACCTGGTACCATGCGGTTGGGAAGCCTCCTTTGTGGGCTGCAGTCATCATCTTGTGGCCTTGAAATGGCACAAGCTGCGCCGGGCTCGATGCTGCGCAAACTGCAGACAAGTTTTGCAGCGGTGACGATGATCCCTGGTCGAAACAAGGATAGGGCAAAGAGACCTTCAGGGGGGACGACCAGGCACTCGGTAAGGAGAAGAGGGGCTGAGGGGGCGAGGGATTGGGACAAGGTTCGCGGTTTGTCCTGGGTCCTCTTTTCTCCTGCCCTACTCCAACTCGCTCTCTGGGGTTGTTTGCTCTTTTGTCTGACTCTTGGGTAGCGCTTGGCGAGTGAGGTGGCTGACCTTGGAAAGCCGGAGGACTGTACTGAACTGGACTGCAAGAAACGGCCCGAGTCCTCGTCCCAGATTCTGGCCCGATGCTTGCATGTTGGCTCCATGTTTGCTCCCTCCATCACGAATGCACTTCGCATTCGTCAGTTCAGTAGGTGATGGCAAGTCGATGAATTATGATTGGCTCCGTGGTTTGGCAACGTTGCTTATCATTGCCCGTTCAGTGAAACCCAGCCGACGAAGGTTTCCCTTATTTCCGCATTGGTTCGATGTTTGTTTCTTTTCGTAGCGCATCCACAGTGGAATTCTGACGGACATAACGAAGGTGCATGACAACACGGGGCCCCGGGCACAACCGGTCTCGTCCACTTCCTCTATGGAATGCAGGACTTCACCCGGCCGTTCCCGTGCTGTCCGTTCTCCAAAGACGCTAGCCGGCGCTGTGTCACTCCGGTGTTTGCTCTCTTCCCTGTGGCTCACGCTGTTGTGGCGGGCCCGAAGACCACAAAAGACAAATCAGCGGCCTCTCTAGAATCTGCCGTCTGCGCGATTCTGCAGCTTTAACCGCCCTTTGAGACCTTGACCCAGATAACCCCACAAGGTTATCTCGAGGTAGATCTCGGTCCGTCGGAGTGCACTTGGAATGGTGTTTGGCCTACTTAACCGGAACGCTTGGACATTTTTTCTTCATTTGTTGATGTTTTGCTATCGGTGTATTGTATTGTTTGCTGGGTAGCTAATAGCGAACTTAATGCATCGCACTACCGCATTTTTCCGTCTTTTGCATAGGTTAATTCAGGTTCTCATCATACAACAGAGCTATACTTGCTTTCCTAAACCAACTTGTTTGCTTGGTTCTTCTTCCTTGTTTAATCCTTCCTCTTTGTTCTCTCTTACTCGCGCCAACCCGCTGATCAACCAACCATGACAGCAGCCTTACCAATCATCGATTTGCAGTCGTTCGACTCGGCAGAGGACCTGGCGGTGGAGCTGATGCGCGTTGGCAGGGACCCCGGCTTCTTTTATGTCGTTGGACACGAACTGGGCGACCATGTGGCTGCAGGAATGTTTGCTCTCGCCGAGGCCTTCTTCAACACACCCCTGAAGGACAAATTGGCATACGCAAATGGTAGTGGCGATCTGGTCAGTCTACAGACTTTGTAACATCCTCATTGTTTTCATTCAACACCATACAAGATGTGGCGAGGTTCTAAATCACCGATCTGGTTGCTGACCAGGGCTATTCCGACATCTAGGGTTACACTGGCATGAGAGAAGAGACGTATATTGCCCCGATACCTTTACCCCTGTAAACTGCCATGCGCTGAGACGTTACGTTGCAACCAGACTGTCTGGCGCCGGGCCCGGAGATGTCAAGGAGTCGTTCTATCTTTCAGATCCCGGAATGGCCACACAACCTCTACCAGCAGAGTTGGAAAGTGGCCGTGAGAAGATGTCGGACTTTTTCACTGCCTGCGACACACTAGCCAAGACTCTACTGGAAGGAATAGCGATTGGTTTGGGCGTAAGTAGAGCCTCGGAAGATAAGCAGATAAAGAAGGAAACAACACTGAGCTGAATTCTTGCTTAGATGCCAAGAGACTTTCTCTCCAGAGCCCACACGGGAGAGAGTTGCCGCATGCGTCTCATCAACTACCCCCCGGTGTCCCAACTGTCTATCCCTGACAGCCCGACTTCTGAGATTTCGGAGGACATCCGTGCAGGCGCTCACTCGGATTATGGCTCTTTGACGCTGCTTTTCCGCCAACCGTCGGACCAGGGCGGGTTGCAGGTCTTACGAGACGGGACCTGGGTTGATGTAACGTGCCTTCCGGACGCTATTGTCGTTAACATTGGAGATGCCCTCGAGTTTTGGACTGCGGGAAGGTTACGGTCCACGATGCATCGGGTGACTTTCCCGAGGTCTGCAAGTGAGAACGTTGGGAGATTGAGCATACCTGTGTTCATACAGCCTGATCGACATATAATTTTGGCACCGATTGAGAGCAGAGACGAGCCAGTGGAAATAGGCCAAGAAGTTGGGGCAGAATTCTTGGAGGTTCTGCAGCGAAAGGGGTATGAGAGCGCCAAGCCCATCACAAGTTCAGAGCACCTTGAAAGGAGGATACGGGCCACATACGCGAAGCCTTGATGAAAGTATGAGTTATGCATATGACGAAAAGCAAAAAGCACATTATGAAAGCGAGCATGTTGCCTGTTAGTCACATGGATGTTATAATGGAAACTACCTATCACTACCGTTGCAAATGCAAAGGCTTCCCCGCCTGTGTGCATAATGTGGATAATGTAGAAGTATGCACATTGGAAGCAATGCCGTGTCATTAAATTATCTTGCATTTGCTATTTACAAAAGACATGAATTTTTTCTGTATGTTAGTCACTTCCTTTCAACCGAACACGCGCCTCCATCCCAAGACTTTCTGGGAGTAAACACGACATTAAGCGGAGCAACTGTAAGAGTCCCAGTATCTCTGTTCCCCTCGAGGAAGCTCTCTCCACTTTGGCCCTCTGCATACCTTAAGTTATACTTGTGCACTATCGCACTTGTAACAAACCGAGTTTCCATAAGACCAAGTTGCTTGCCAATGCACACATCGTGACCTTGGAAGAGTCAGTATGCTAACGAGAAGCTTCATAAGTCCGGGAACCGACCAGTAGAGAATGGTACATAAACATGTGGATTCTTGACAAGCTCCGATCGCTCGATCCAGCGTTCCGGGATGAAGTCATCTGGCCTTTCAAAGAATCTAGCATCTGTATATTCTGTCATCAGCACATGCTATTAAGCAATTTTTTCACATCGCTAAGACCCACCGCGATACTGAGTGTAAGAGGGGACAAACACAATGGTATCTCCTGGGAGCCACACATCATCGACCTGTAAGCCCTCTGGGGGCGTCATCCGCTGAACCCCTGAGGGCACCGGCGGGTGCAGTCGGAGTGATTCGTCGATGCAGGCCTGAAGATACCGCAACTTTGAGAGTGCAGCATGTTCGGGCTTGTCATGTTGGCGGAAGTATTCGTCGAGCTCCGTTTGGAGCTTCTTGTACTCCTTCGGATGACGTGCAAGCTCCATGAACAGGCACGTCAACACGGCGGCAACAGTGTCACTACAATTGCACTGTTAGCATGCCAACTTCGACCCAGAAAAGATCATGAGAATGTTCTGACCTTCCCGCAACGGTAATCAAGATGCAGTCCCCATAAAGATTTAACATGTCCTGAGACGAATGCTCCTTCTTCGCCTCATGGTCCTCCAATACCCAAGTGAAGATATCCGGACTCTCTGGTTTGTTCTGAATACGCTGCTGCACCTGCCCCGAGATCCATCTTTTGAACTTTTTGACGCCGGCGTTCCAAATCGCCATCTTGCGATACAACGGCAGCGCCCACATGGCGTGCGTAAATCTCCCAACAGCTTTCGTCTCATCGTGCAAAGAATTCATGTAGAAATGCGCGACGCCGTCTTCGAGCATGCGGAAGCCATGGCCAAGGGAGAATTCACCCATGACATCGAAACTGTAGAAATTGAACCAAAGTGCTACGTTAAACTTTGTACCGGCGTTGACTTCAATTCCAGCGAGGAGTTGGTCGGTATATTTGAGGACCCGGGGCTCGTAGTCACGCAGAGCTGTCACGAATTTTAGCCTAAGCATAATAGATGCGGAGTCGACGGGCCCTAACATTTTGAAGTGAAGCCATATTCCCATGCTTTTCGACGTTTTGAGTGCGCTTCTTTGTCTCGGACCATCTGCATCGAGACCATGGGATGAAGGAGATTATACCAAGGCCCCTTCATACAGTCTGTATCAAGGAAGACAGCATCGATGGCACCCGGCTTATTGATGGAAAGCTCTGTTGGGCCGACTCGAACTATATCGCCGTATTTCTCATGAAGTTTCCGAACATCTTCGTGTAGATGCATTCGGTTCCAGATCTTGAAAGTTACGTAAAGATTCGTAAACTTGGCCAGGAATGGTCCGGGGAATTGTCGCAATCGATGGAAGAGACCTCGATATACAAGCATACTCGAGTAAATTCCTGCAATAATAAACGAGAAGATAATTGATGCAATCCTTAAAGCTTCAGGTAATCGTATTGTCTCGATCGGACTTGATAGCATAGGCGCCAATGCCGGCGCGGCCATGGTCGCACTTACAGTCGTTATATATGCGAGAGAAAAGCTGCTGATGATACGCTGTGCTGAGAGATCCCATTCTCCATATCGAAAGATTAAGAGATGTAACAAAACGCCGATAAAAAAAGAGAGCCCTAAAGCCTGGGGGCTTGCAAGAACGTCGCTCGCTAGCATTGTAATAACGATCAATCTCCAGGCTAATTGAGGCTGATGAAGGTTGAAAATAAAAACAGATAACGATTTTCACTACGTCAAACAGGCAGAAAGCAACCCATATAACTTCAGCGGAAACGCTCAAACTCGAAACCGTCTACCAAGCAATCTTTTATCAAACAAGGTTTCCTTCGCCGAATTTCCCCATGCTGCATGAAACTCTAGTCAACTATATTTTCCAGTACCAAAGATCGATGGTCCTCACATGGTAAAACTATGGCACGTTCGGATGTAATTGGTACGTAGCAATTCTTATTCTGTCTGTTTCCAACATGATCCCAGAACTTCCGTGTCACAGACGAGTATCGACTGAAATCAGTAGAGGATCGCCACGTTGACGAGTATCATCTCAAGCTTGGACGATAGCAGTTCTGCTTCATGAGTCCGGACGTCCGGACACCTAAAGCCAGGACGAAGCACGGGGCTCTGCAATTCGGTCGGGAAGTCGGGAACAAAGTAGGTGGAAGTTCCGACATAACGTAGAATGCGTTCGAATCCAAGATTCAAGGCTGAAGTTCTCAAGGTCCTATGGCTATTGGCAATCTTAGTAGAATTTCTCACCCTATGGATTAGACCCCTTTCGAAATAGGATAATAAAAAGCAAGTTTACGAGCATCTTTTAAAAAGTGAGATGCCAAAACGGAATCTGCCGAATTCTTTGGGGATTTGGAGAAAAAGAAAGGTCCATCCAGGATTCGAACCTGGGCCTACGGAAGGATAAGATTGTTAAATCAGAATCCGACGTCCTAACCAACTAGACTAATAGACCAGAAAGCCTAACATAATGCTCATCGACTATCCGCAGTGCCAAAATTTGCTCATGTGGGAGGGTGCGTAGAGTGAAGCCCTCGGGTGGATACGAGGACAGAAACCCACGATCACTCAATGATTTTGTCAGCTCAACACCCGATATTCTATCTTTAATTAAAGGTCTAGATCGTGGCATTAGCAACCCGTTACTTTTTGCAGCGATCTTAAAGATTTTCTATCACCTTACTAGCCGAATTGTCGACTCTCCGGATTGATGAAGGCATTATGTTCGGAAGCTTTGTATTCGGACTGTCCTATATTCACAAGCCGCATCGTCTATCGACAAGTCTGTCTTGCCCCAGCTTACAAAAAGCCTTTCCAGAGACAAGAGCACTGACTGAACCTTACTACCTATACCCACTCCCACTCTTCAGACTTCCTAGGTATGTTGGATGGGCAGTGTTGAGGTCACTGGGCTTCTACTGAGGTTTGCATATAAACCATGATCGTTCACTATTGAACATCATGTAAGATTAGTGCTAATCATTTAAGATGAACGCTGTTAAACGACATCAACTAATATAAATCTAGACCCGAGAAGTCCATCAGAGGAAAAGGGAGAGAAAAGCAACTAGGCTATGTGTTTGAGTCGTGGAAAGTGCTACCAATCCGATAGCGCTACTTAGTACACTCGCACCCTGGAAAGAATAAACCTAATCAGAAGACTGGATGAATCTGTCCCACGATCTCAGTTGGCAGTGTTCCTAGAATTGCTACGTGTGTTACCAATAGAACAGATGGAATAACCATTCAGGTTTCCTAATTTTCATTTCGCAGATGAAGTATGAAGATTATTACGGAACCTGCAGTATAAAAATATCATCCCGGTTATTTTATCTTCTCTTGCCACGTTCTTAGTGCTCACAAAACTTCACACCAAGCGCTTCAACTGCCTGTGCCTTCTACTTGACAGTGCCGACAGCCATAGCTGCCGCAGTAGCTCTGGACACAACTAGGTAAACCCGATGCTGTAGTGGAGAGCGAAACGTACCTCATAGCTATTCCAAGAGAGAGAAAAATCATGTCGCCATCGGCTTTGGGGTTAGCAGTAGTTTCGGCGGTCATGCATAGTGAAGTTTGTCTTGTTGATGAAGTAAAAGCACAGCTGTTGATGGATGATGATTCGAATGCATCCGATGATACCCGCGTCGGGCAGCCGGGAATTACCCGAGGCGGACCCCGGCAGATCATCGCAGAACGACGCCATTTCTTAGCTATCACTTCCGCGGCTAATTTCTTCCCTTTCTCTCAACCTTTCTAGCTTGGATCTCCTAGCCCTTTAAATACGCCGAACCTTGCAACATTGCAGCGACAGACTTGTGGAGAAGATGGTTGCCCAGGCAGACGGCAAGACATCGCCGTTACTCTCTCTAGGTGCAGGAGGTATTGCCGGTGGTGTGGAAGCCGCGTGCACATACCCCTTCGAATTCGCCAAGACGCGAGTGCAACTCTATGGACATCAGAAGGGGACGCGAAATCCGTTTGCCATCGTCCTCCGCGTTGCGCGCGATGAGGGATTACCAGCCCTGTACAAGGGATGCAGCACTCTGATCGTGGGTTCCATCGGCAAAGACGCCGTCCGGTTCGTCGCGTTCGACAGCATCCGCTCAATGTTCGAAGACAAGAAAACACATACACTCGGTCCTTTGCAAAGCATAGCATCAGGAATGGTAGCTGGCATCGTGAGCAGTACGGTCATCGTAACGCCAAGCGAGCGCATCAAAACAGCGCTTATCGACGACGCCAAGACCACAAGGAGGTTCAAGGGTGCGATAGACTGTATCACAACACTCACACGTGAACAAGGAGTATTGAAGGCTTTATGGCGTGGGTATATCACCACGACTTTGAAACAAATTGGCACTACGGGATTCCGACTCGGTAGCTACAGCATCATCAAAGACTTTGAGCGGACACAAGGTATCAGCCCCGAGGGGCCCGTGATGAGCTTCGCCAACGGTGCCCTTGCAGGAACTGTGACTACGGTAGCGACGCAGCCATTTGATACCATCAAGACGAAAGCACAACAGGCAAAGGCGGTTGGGACGATGGAGTCTTTCCGAGCTATCATGGCTGAGGATGGAGTCAAGGGTCTCTGGAGAGGCACGGTCATGCGGTTAGGCAGAACGGTACTGGCAGGCGGCATTTTGTTTACGGCCAATGAACAAGCAATGAAGGGTTTGAAGCTTCTTACAGGTAAATAATCACATTCGATAAAACAGACGGGCGGATATCTGGACATCCCAGAGAAGGAGGCGCTTGAGACGTAGGAGCTTCACAAAAACATAGATAAGACATGAATACGTTTGGCATGAAGACCGCATCTAAATAGATAGATATTATAACAAGAACCCGCGTCAAAGGCAAAACCATTCCCATTTTCAATATTGATTCTTGAATATAAAATGCTATCACTATGCAGTCCAGTTGGTTGCAGTTCTACATTGTCAGTAATTCATGGGTTTAACATCTTTGATATTACCCAACGATCTCCTCAAAGCTGTTAATGACTTCGCCAAATTTCTTAGAGGAGTCACCAAAATCAGTCCTCAATATGGTGCTGTGTATGGGTCATGACATGTGAGGGCCTGAGCTAGGTGATGCTCCCTATAGTTCCTGTGGATGGACTAGGGTGGCAAATATTGTCCCTCTCGTTCCAATTCAGAGTTTCAATTAATAGTTCGGCGCTCTTAAATTATGGTGATAGTTCCAAAATTTAAGCCACCCAATATGACTTTGTTAACAGGTTGTCTTGGTGCTAGACAAGTTGAGCGTAGCCCCTGCAATAGGTTAGTTGTAGAGGATCCGGAAGTGTCCCCCAGGACGCTGAATAACAATGTGTTACGAGGCCTAAATACAACCATAATATTTCGGGATTGCTAGTTTTGTACCTGAACTCGTTCACCAGCTCCCTGATGAGATCGCGTCCTCCGATAGTACCAATTTCTGATACATAGGACAACAAAACTTTAAGAGCTTTGCAAGAGTCCCCATCAATAGCAACCTGGACGGCAAAAGAGTTGTCTAGAAGCCAAATCATGTCTTTTTGAGGGATTAAACGAAGCCACACCGAGATTTTCTCTGAGAGGTTGTTCTCCCACATAAGGAAGTCAAGACAGGTCGACCCTCGAATTGGCCACTGCGGCTCCTCGTCTTCGCTATTAGACGTTGAACACTTAGAAGATGTGCCATCGCTTCCGTCTTCGAAGTATCGGACACGCGAGCAGACATCAAATCTTTGCCTAGCACAGGAGATGGCTTTGAAGCTTGCACCCTTCGCGATGAGAGTATCTACAATTTTAATGGCTATTTTCTCGCGCGAGAGTGCGAAGACGAGAGCTGCTCAAGTGTGACATGATCTCATCTTTATGTCAGGTGAGCACCCATTGGTTAGAAGCCTTTCACAAACAACGTGGTTACTCTCTTCAATGGCATCCTCCATTGCTTTTGACATTGCCGCCGTCAGATGCCTCTGGACTCTTTCAGTCTCGTGTATTGTCAAATCCAGCGACCCTTTCCGAAGACTTGCTGTGATCAAATCTATAAGCCTTTTGTTGTTTTTCTTCATGGCAATATCCAGCGGTGTTTCTCCCTTTTTCGTTTTCAAGTGACTTGCACCTAAGTCTAGGAGAAGCGCGGCTGTCGACTCACTCTGATGCAATACAGATATGTGTAAGGAAGTCAGCCCTGCGGAAGTTTGAGCGTTTATGCTGGATCCCCTAGAAAACAAAATTTGTATAGTCTCCCTCAGTCCAAAGAAAGTTGCCAGGTGCAAGGGAGTAGAGAGGTCTGCCGCGACCACGTTGAGATCGGTAGCAAAACCACGATCAAGTAGAAAGGTGACCATATCCGGAGAAGAAATCGCTGCAAGATGCAAGGCACTAACATTTCGGTGTGAATGGACTGAAACGTTCCAAGTTCCGAATGCCACTTGCACTTGAAAATTCCAGATGGGCTCTGGACAAGACGCTCCGGCCATCTCCTCAAGCAAATCAACGTATCCGTGGGCACACGCCCACGCGACCGGCGTCCACCCGTACACGTCTGGAACATGTAAAATCTTGTTAGCACCATGACGAAGAATTATCCTGGCTGTATCGACATAGCCAGCGCTAACATGCGTGCTTATGGACGAGACGCGACTTTTGTTGCTGAGAAGTTGACAGTCAGCTTGTTCCAGCAATAGACGCTGTACCAGGCTAAACTTCGGGTTGTCCAACGGTCTTCTGGCTTCCGCAAAACCTCTAGTACCGATTATAGAGACCCTAATATGCGGTGGAGGCGGTATGTTCTGGAATGGGGCGGCGGAACGGAAGGTCGGACAGCTGAACGACTTGATGTGACGACCATCGGCTATTCCGAGCCGATGAAGTAACCCAAATCCTTCATCACAAGGCGTTAACTCATTGACAACGACCTTTTCGACTCTCTCAAGGATCCTAACTAGCATCCTATGTCCGTCAGGACCACTACCATTTGAACACAGAAATTCCACCGCGTTTGTTCCATTTCCCCTTTTGCAGACGTTGATACCAGCTTGAAGGATACGATCAAAGAGAAACACAGAGTCATAGTATATAGCCCATTTGAGAACGCTCACATCAAAGTCGCTATTTTCAAGGTAGGCGGGCTGAGTCGCAGAGTCGAATACAAGGGCAAAAATGTCTTCGATAATGGGCACGTTGTCGTTCTGTGACGGCAACTTGTCGGTACCAAAGAGTACTTTCATCTCTTTCAGTCCAGAAATACCAGTCGTTTTCTCATATATCTCCATGTATCCGCGGTTTATCAAAATTCTGATAAGATTGACGACTTCTTCAGTATCGATTGCTGATGGCTGTTTCAACGTTTCGTATAGGTTTTTGCAAGTGAACCCCCAAATGCCATGAGTGGTTGTTTCAGCTGTTTGCGTCAGATCTGCATTGATCAATGCCATCAGAACATCCTTGTTGTAATTGCATAGCTTAGTGGCTTTCAGGTATTGTTCAAGAGGGGTTTTTCCTGATTCGGATCTCTTGTAGGTGTATTTGGCCAGTAGTTCGTGGACGACTTCGATGATTGAGGAACCATCCAGGCAGTCCAAGGGTGATTCTGTTGCCGGTAGTCGTATGATGTTGCTATTGTGCATCTCCTTGAATACCTCGAGTTTGTCAATTCTTGCTAAAATCTGGCTCAAGGGGAGCTTTGTGCTTTGCAAGATTTCATGGTCTCCCCAGACTTGACTTATTATCGATGATGCATTCTGGTAACGCTTCCAGAATAAGGCTTCGGCAAGGGGTGTTCGACCTTCTTTGTTAATGGCACGGAGAGCTTTCCCCCATTCTGTTCGATCTACATGTTTAAGAAGAGTCCTGATCAGCCCGAGTGAGTTAGTTTCTCCAGCTGAAAGATGCCAAATGTTGTTTCGCCCATGGTCAAACTCAGTCGTACTGCATCCGTGCTTCAATAGACATTCAAGAACCTCCACTGACTTGTGGTGCGCACAGTTCATGACCATTTGAGATCTTTGGTCGTTCTGCGCATCAGGGACTGTATGTTTTGCAAGCAAATAGTCTAGGCAGGAGATTGACGGACATGTCGCCGCAAACTCAAGCAGCCTGTTGGTTGTATCTCCCTGAAGGGCCTCGGTACCACGCGGGCTCCCTGACCTTTCTTTAAGAACACTCAAATTGTCTTCCGCAATAGCTTTCCACATTTCCTGTACCAGCATCTGATCTGAGATGCCTTCAGAATAGGGCAGGTTGTTGTCCAGTTCTGTTATGTCGGAAACGCATTTCTGGAATGCTTTGAGATAGGCAGCAGACTGTTCTTCGCACTCAACGGCCATTCTATTAATAATGTCCAAAATCGACACGATCATTGCCAATGCGTTTTTGTCTCCATTCTTTGACCATCTCCGACAAATTGAACGAAAAACGGCTATGTCATCGTCGTAAAGCTGTGCCCCGCCTCTCACAACAAGAGCGAAGAGCTCGCAGTCGCCTGCCAATTCAGAGGCTTTCAGAGACAAGGCACCCACTGTTCCCCAGGAGTACATTTGGCCCGATAAGGACTTCGTGCAGTCTGCCCCCGATTCGATTAGTAGCTCCACGGTCTTCCGAGACGGCCGCTCCAGCCAATCGCTGGGTCGTCTCTGGGTCGACATATCGTGGCAGGCAATAAGAAACGGCCCACCGAGGGCACAGTGCAGAGGTGTTCCCAGCTTGCTTGGAATATTGACGTTCTCCCCACGCCTAAGAAGCTCCTGACAGATGGAATGCATTCCAAGCAAGGCGGCCATGTGCAAGGGGGTAAAATCTCCCCGTCGAACGATCCGCGCGAGTCGTCTTGTTTCGCCTTCATGCCATACCCGCCTTGGTGCATATTTCCTCCATCTCCAAGGGGTTAGGCTACTGAGGATAACCCTAGGCTCGAATTCCGAGGACCCTCCATCAGAGCTTTCAAATGGTGAATTGCTGGCTTGAGTAGTTTCCGAACAGACAGAACCTGTGCTGCCTTCCATGCCCATCGATGCTGTCTCATCCCGCATATCTCTCCACATGTTCCAAGATCCATAAAAAAGTAGTGGCGGCAGACTTCTAGACACCACGACTTGAAATTCGAAGTCTGTTTTGCGTCAAAAAGCACCATTGCCTTTGCGAGGAGATCTGTGTCATCCAATAAGTTGGTCTCTAGTTTGTGCCACGTCAAAGCAGCAAATCTGTAGAAAGGAAACCTCATAGCCCGATGCTGAATGAAGCTTTCCTCAGAGAGCGATAACTTAGGGAGCCTTGAAAAATGGTCTGAATGCAGAAAACGCAACGCACATGTGGTGAAAACTCGATTCACTTGTGCCTCATTAAGCGAATAATCGGATAGATCGGGGTCGGATGGATTTATGCTTGCAAGAAACTCTTTGATGGTGCAATGAGAAAATTGGATTCGGTCATTACACGCTGGTTTCTAGATAAAGATACCACATTGGCTGAGAATCTCCGACTCGTCAACCTCCGGGTATTCAGCGTCTTCAGACCCTAGGCCCCCTTTGATTGCTGTTGACAATGCTTGGCACAGATCTTGGGTAGTAAGTGGAGGGTTCGAAAATGCAACCAGCAGTAGAGTTGCCCGGATCAAACTTCGCGACGCCGAGTCTTTTTTGTTGAAACTTTCCAGAATGAGTTGGTAGGTTGAGTCGAGAGTACAAGGGAGGGTTTGAAGAAACTTC